TGAGCACATGTGTGCCCTCCCCAAGCCCAAGAGGCTGCAGCAGCAAGGGGCTGCTTACCTGGTTGCAGCAGGCCACAATGATGTGCTCCGGCTCGGGCATGACACTGCTCTTCTGGGCCACCAATGTGTCCTGTGTGTGGCCAGGGAGCCGGTAGGAGGAGAAGAGCCCATAGTATTGCTTCATACAGAGCTGCTGCCCTGACAGCTGGCCTTTGGCACAGTCAGTGGGGATGGAATGGCTGGAGGGGGAGAGAGGCGGAGAATCAGAATTGGTTCTACTAACCATCCAGCCCTAACTTGATTAGGCAAAGCAGGGCACAAAAACTAGAACTACAGTACAATGGCAGTCAAAGAGTTTGACTCTCCACTTTTTAAAGTACTATAATGCCCGATTTGTATGGCCAAGGAGACCCTCAGGGTTTCCTCACCCGTCTCAAGCACTACAGTGCAGATCTTGCCATTTTAGCCCTCTGTGCCTTTGCTCATGCTGATCTTTGCTTGGCATGCCTTCACCCCACCCTGTGCTTAGCTAATCTGTTTAGAACACCCCTTCTACTCCTCCAAGAGCTTACTCCTTCATGACTTCTTCTAGAAGCCTCCTCTGAATTCAAGGCAGAAAACTCTTTCTCCTGTGGTCTCAGCATATTTTGTGTCTTTCCTTTCTCCCTCTCCCCCTTTCTCCTCCTCTTATTTCTCCCCCACTATCTCACTCCCCTTCCTTCCTTCCACCCTTTCAGACAACAAATGTTTTTGAGCGCTCCTCTGAGCCAGGCACCATTCTGGGATCTGAAGAAACAGTGGCAAAGAAAACATGAGTTTCCTGCTCTAATAGGGTACAGGTCTTGGGATATTTAGGTTGGGCACAGACAACAAGCAGCAGACTGGTAAAGAGGAGGGTTTCAGGTAGTGAGCCAGGGTGACAAGGAAGAGGGGCCAGGAGCAATCTCACTGATGACCAGACATGTGAGCTGAGCCCTAAGGATTAGAGGCAGCCATGACTAGAGCTGGGGCCCATTGAGGTGGGCCAGGTGAGTACACCACAGCCCTGCTGCTCCAAGTGCAGGTATTAAACTGAGCTGTAATGACCAACACATGACAGAGTGAGTATAGAAATCCAGAGGGGGCTTTCAGAAACTTTTGCAGCAATCAAGCAGAGGAATTTTATGTCCATTGACTCTAATAATAAAACAAGTGGTCTCATATTTTGTACTTTCTAATAATTCACTTTTGTAATGTTTTACAAACATTTTATAAAATTCAAAAATATGTTAGTTCTTCACAGATTATTTGATGAACACCAGTTTAATGTAGAAAGGAAGCCAGTGGGGTTGAAGCTGAGTAAGCAGGCTCAGACTGAGGAGACCATTCTCCTTGAGTAGCAGGTAGCAAGGCTGACTCACCATGCCTCTCTCCAGCAACTCTCCCTTTGCCACCTTCTCATGTGTTCACTAGATTCCTGATACACATACAAGTGTGTATATACAAGGGATTGAGGAAGGGCATTATTTTAAAGATATCAAGGAAGAACAGTGCTTATCCCAGGAAAAGGAACTGTTAATGGTTGGGCCAGCTAGGGTAAAGGTCATCCTGATGCTGAGAGGTAGATGGGGTTCAGTGACAGGAACACAGGAACCAGGAACACAGAGCTGAAAAAAGACAAGGTCCCTGCCTTCTGGAGCTCCTTGTCTAGTGTGGGATGGAGACAGGTGAATCAACAGGCTGTGCTGGAACAGGGCACTACCCTTTTCAGGCTGGGCCCAGTCCTACCTGTCCAGCAGCGCCTTGTAGTTGAGTATACCAGAGATGAGATTGGCAGCAAACCTGCAGAGAGAGATGAGGCCTTAGCCTCTCCTTTCAGGGGCCCAGGCTCCCTCCCTCCCTTCAACCTTCTTCTCCCTCCTTTTCTTTCTCTTTCTCCCTCCCCACTTCCTTCCTCCCTTCTCCCTCTATAGTTTGCTCGCTCTCTCTTCTCTCTCTCTCTCTCATTCTCTCTCTCTCTCTCTCTCTCTCTCTCCCCCCCCCATTCCCCAAATTCAGTGACCACCCACCAGATACCAGGTCTTTGTGGTGTCCTAATCAGATGAGATTCCTGCCACTCTCCCACTCCATGCTGTCAGTCCCTCACAAGCTTTAGAATAAAAAGTGTTCTCATGGAGAGAACTTCAGGGAGGAGAGGAAACTGGAAAATGAATGATGAGGAGGAAGAAGGAGAGGAAGCCAGGAGAGGCCACAGAGCAGTCAAGAGAGGGCTTGATGGTCAGGGATGGGGTTCTTCCTAGGAAAGGCTCATGCTGGGGCAGGACTGGACCAAGATCCCAGGGTTTTGCATCGGGAAATCCAATCTCCTGGGCAAAGTCAATAATTTGGTTCTCTAAATGCTAATGAAAAATAAAGTGGGTGCTGGGAATAAAAAAGATATTAGAGGACCATACCATGGAACCATGTCATCTTAACTGTTCATGGATGACAAACCCTGGCTTAATTGCATCAGGAGAAAAATGCTCACTAGGATGAAATTTTGATAACTGTTTTTAAAAGTCATTCACCCATTCATGCACTTTGTTTATCCCAGGGGAAGGGGGAAGACTGCCCCAGACGATTGGGCTGGTCTAGGTGAAGAAGAAGCGGGTATGGATCTTCCAAGCATAGCTGAGCCTTATTCGTAGGCAAGGTGGGCCCCGCCTCTTGTTCTTTTCCTCCCTATGAGAGGTCCCTATGTCATGCTCCCTTCAGGTCTTAAAACCAGAGACCTGGATTTGGGTCTGAGTGACTACTGCAGAAAGACCTTCCTCCCTGCCCCACCCCTGCATAAGTGGCCCCTCCATTGTCATCTTTGGGCCCAGAGGCCAGTCCAGCAGCTCAGTGAGCTCTGAAATTTCAGCAGATGGCACAGGATCTGGCGAAGGTGGCTTGCAGGAAGGAACCATTTCCACCCCATTGGAATCTCTGTTTAGAGCTGGGGGCTGGAGGGCAGCAGAGGTCTCCCAGATCACCTGGGGCAGTGTGTCCCACTGACAAGTCCCAGCACTGGCAGGGTCAGAGGGTACCCACCTCCCCCTAGAGCCTCAGTCAGGCCGACTGCAATGGGAACACCTTGGGGCCCATGCTGTCCATTAGTGCCCATCCATCTCAAATAAATACATTCTGAGGAAGACTTTGTATTTGTTCCTCACACACAACCTCCTTTCTGACCCCGCGACCTGGACAGCTGCTGTCTTGGGGCCATTTGGCCTCAGAAAGCTCTGCAAAGGCACAAGCTTTGGCCTTTTGTTCCTGGTGCTGGGTACAGGACCCTTCCCCAAGGCAGACTCCCAAGATGCAAGCCCAGGAGCACAGTGACCTCACCTTAGCTGATCATTGGTGTCCTGGAAGTGTTGCCGGGCAAAGATCACAGCTGGGCTGGAGTTGACAGGCAGGGCCAAGCGGTTGTTAAGATACATATCATTCAGCCAGTACTCAGACACCTGTGGGGGAGAGTGCAAAAGGGGTGCCCTTAACCCTATGGACCATGTACACCCCTCCAAACAAGGGCACCTTACCTGTGTACCAGTCCCTTCCTGGCAGCCCTGAGGGACAACTGGGACACTTTACTGGATCATGCACTTTTTTCATTCATTCATTCCACAAACATGCACTGAGTTCTAAGATCCTTCTGCTAGGATCATGTGCTTCCCGACTCACATGCCTATCCTTCATCCTTGGTTCATACTTTCTCCTTTCCTCCATCTCAGGTTCCCATCTTGGTTGTTTGGTGCTTTATCCATGTTCCCTGACCATCCTTATGAGACTTACATTCCTGCCTTTCACCCCTCTCTGTTTTCCTGAACTCATCTCTATCTTCTGCTGCCCCATACCTGTCACCCATCTATCCCCCAACCTTGTCCCCATCTGCCCCATCCTTGCCCTTCTTTGTCTCCCATCTATTTCTCCCATCTGTCCCCCTCATCTCCATCTTTACCTCCCACATCATGTTTGTCTGTTCCTTACCTTTGTCCCTTACTCTCCCCCATCTCTCCTCCATTCTTGTCCCCCATCTGCCCCATCTTTTTCACTTACCTCTCCCTCATCCAAATCCCTCTGTCTCCATGTCTGCCTCCCGCCTCCCAGTCATGGATCCCTTGTCTACCCTGTCAACTTTCTCCCAGTAACTCTTACCCAGTTTGCTGTCTTCTCCTGCTGCTCCAGCAGCTTCTGCTGCAGGGTCTCCCCAAGGCCACCAGGTGCCCCAAACCGCTGCACTATGGCCTGGCTCCTCTTGAACTGCTCTTTGGGCACCAGGTGCTGCATGCACCGTAGGTAAGTGGCCAAGGTCTGCTGCAGTGGGGGCACTGGGAGTTTGGGCAGCCCCTGGAAGAGAGGGTTCACAGGCACTTGCTATGCCTGTCCTTATGTGTAGTCGATACCTGTCCCTAAATTGATGCCCAATGTTTGTCTCCATCTTCCCCAATCTTTGTTCCCTATCCTGGGACTCATCTGTTTCCAGGGCTCCGCTCAGAACTGTGAATTTAAGATGTTCCTGTTTGCTTTCTTTCATACCCCTGCTCTGCTCCCAGGAGGGGACAAAACATAGAGGAAAAGACGTTGATGTTGGACCCAGACAGACCTGGGTTCATGCTGTGACCCCTGCAGCTGACCAGCTGTGTGATCTTAAGCAAATCATCTCTACCTCTGTGCCTCGGTTTCCTCCCATCAGATGGGGATAATATAATAACCTCTACCACTCAGAGGGTCATAGAGATCATGAATGTAAAAGTACTTTTAAACCATAACGAATTGGTCTATGATGAAATAGTCCTGTTATTAATATTGACTGCTGGTCAATTGATCTATGGACTCAAAGGCTATGACTCTAATGGAGAGATTTCTATAGAGGAAAAAAGTGGGAGACATTGTTCATTGCTTGCCCTAATGACCAGAATTTTGCAAGATGTTTCCTGGGAAAGTGACCCATGCCCTGGGTTCTTTATTAAATCTCTCCTAGTTATGAAACTCCAGGAGGAAAATTCTGCTCTATGTAGGTGTAGGGGAAGAGAAAAGGTGCAGTGGAAGTTCTTTCTCTCTTAATTTTTCCAAGTCTCAGCTTTCTCATCCATAGGACATAAATAATGATTTCTACCTAAGAGGGGCACAGAGATGATTAAGAGAGAAACAACTGGCCCCAAATAAGCACATCATTAAATGTTGTGATGTTACTGTCCTTATCTCTGCAGAGGGAGTCCTAAGAGGAAATCCATAATCTCTGGGGGCCTCCAAAGTATGGAGAGAGTCTAAGTAGAACTTCCCACTAATGTCCTTCCTGTCTGGGCCCTGTGCTTCCCAGTTTACCTGCCGTGTTCACCAGGGATCTCACGTATATGTTCAACCATTTTACGGCTTAACCTTATTGACAGATGGAAAAACTTTGACCGAGAGAGTAAAGAGATAGTCTAAGGTCAGCCAGCAATTCGGTGGCAGAGCTGGGACCTGAAATCAGTGTTTATCCAACTGCTCCTTCTTCTTTGGCCATTCTCTCCTTTCTCTCTTGCTCTCTTTTCTATCCCCTTTCTTTCTTCCTTATTTAGTTGGAAACCAGGACTTTTCATATTATTGCTTAAATTTCACAAAGTTGGCAGATAGCGGGTTGCCTTCTTTCAGGGGTTTTTCCTCTGTGGGATGGTGTGGGTGGTGAATTTCCACTCCAGGTAGACTGTGGAGTAAAGGGGCCTGTTGAAAGCTTGCCTCCACTGTGCTCCTGCTGCCGCACAGGCTAGAGCCTCCACACCCACCCTGGGCAGATGGACTGATATGAATATGCACTGATGAGTGAATGGAAGTCCCCCACATGTCTGATCCTGTGTCCAGAGTTCACTACCCTAGCGGGAGGAAGGAGGGTGTTAATGTTAACTCTGGGCTACTCCTGCCCTGGGGACCACTCGATGGGTCTGAGCAGCATTTCAGGTTGTCCAGCCCACTCCCAGAGAGCCAGGTCCAGGTGTCCCATCCAGCCAGTTCCCTCTCCCTTCTGTTGGGGTCTGGGGATCTGTGTGGTAAGTGAGTGGGCAAGCACCTACAGAAAGCTCAGTGCAGCTCGTGGTATTGCCAAGAGTACCAGCAGGTCTGGCTAGAGCTTCTGCTAGAAACAAGCCACTTCTGACTCTGCCCTGGGACTCAGCCTGGGTTATGGGGATTTGGTGATGGGTAAAAAGGAACAAAGTCAGATGTCTCAGCCTCTCGGGGCTCCTCCCAGACTCTCATAGACTTCTGGCCCACAATAAGGACAGAAGCAGGGACTTATACTAATGAAGGTCCTTGGACTCTAGAGTCTCAGGTCAATACACATTTCCTGGGCAGTGCACATGATCCAGGCTCTGGGCTAGACTCAGTTTCGATGGAGAGACAGGGCTTGCTCTCAAGGCAGCCACAGTCCAAAGGGAGGGACACATCATGGAGCAGAAGCAACAACAGAAGTGTTGTCAGCTGCAGTGGATAGGACAATGTGGTGAGCAACTTCATGGGAGAAGCCAGAAAGTTCTTATCAGGGTTTCAAATGAATCCTGGGGGATGGGGGTGTCAAGGAGGTGTCAAGAAGACAAGTGTGGCAACGTGCAACATCTTGGTAGTCAGATGTGTTGCTCTATCACTCTAGAAGGTGAGAGGAGTAGGAGAGAAAATGCCTGCTCAGGGAGGAGTGGTTTGTCTCAAGTCAGTGGAAAAGATGGTGCCTAAGGCTCCAGGGCTAAACTAGAGACAACAGCTCGGGTGCAACAAGACTTAGAGTAGAGAATTCAGCCTTACCTAAGGAAACTCCACTAAGCTCAAAACTATTGAGAGTGAAACTTAGGGTGGGGAAAAGTCCTGAGAGATAAAAAGAGTACTTGGCCCTGGTCAAGGGCTCTCCCTGACCTTGGGGGTTAGGAAGTGTGGTTGTCAGTATTCCAAACTAGCACCCCGTGAAGCTACTTCCAGCCCCACACCTAGGCCTTCCCAGGCTCCTCAACAGGGTCAGGGCAAGGCTTCAGCCTGGACCTCATTCATGCCCAGGAGAGTACAAGGCTAGGGGCCGGGCAAGTGCTGAGGGCCAGTCCCACTCAAGACTGTTCTGGAAACAAGAGCATGTCAGTAGGGAGAGCAAGGATGAGAAAGAGGGCTCCAAAAGTCACTCACAGTTTCTTCCTCACTGCTGGGAGATTTTGCTGCCATCTTATGGGGGGCTTTTTCCAGGATGGGCATCTTGGTGACTTCTGGTTGAGAAAGCAGAAGTGCGACCTAAGGACCAAGAAACAGGAAGGCATCAGCACAACAGCCATGTAGACCTGCCATGAGTCCTTCACCTTCCATAGTCTGACACCCACTCACTCCCTGTGAGGAGACCAGAGCTGGACAGTAGTGCACACAAGTCTCATTGTAGGTCTGATCTCAATCTCCTGGCCTCCAGACCAGCCATCTCTGACCACAGTGTCCTCTCTGAGCCCCCAAATAGGGGAATATGGGGCCTGAAGTGACCCTCCAGCTGGTACCTGCTTTACCAGACTGCTGTCATCCAGGCCCAATTGACCACCTCAGGGTAAAGTGGGAAGGAGCAGGGCTCTAGATCCTTGCCCACTTCAGATCCACAAGGGGTCATTGGCAGAGTTCCTGCCTGGTACCAAATAGACGTGTAATTTAAAGATTAAAACCTCTCTTTCCCACTAGACTGTGAGCTTCTCCAGGGCAAGACTATATCTGTCATGTTCAGTGTTTCATCTCTGGGACCTAACTGGTGCCTGGCATAGAGTAGGATGTGTGTTGCAGAGTTGAGTAAAAGAAATGCATGCATACATGAATGCGTGTCTGAATGGATATATGCCTGAATGAATACAAGGCTCTCCAAGACCCTGGGCTCCAGGAGGCTCTCTGGGCTGATTGAGAGCCTGCCTTGTGGTCAAGGCAGGGAGGACCCTGAAGCCTGCTGGACAGGCTGTGACTTAGGCAGTCTCTGGTCTGCAGATTCCCAGTGTACGTGACATGGGAATGCTGAAGGAGGTGATACAAGAAAGCTGGGCAGACCAGGCACCTAGGGGCCACGTGACTCAGCTTGGAAACTGGTGAATTAATTTTGAAGGAGGAGTAAAAGTAAGCCAAATGAAGAGAGACAAAGGTCCATTTTTAAGGCTAGTGGGGCTCATCCTCTACCCTCCGATAGCCCTCTAAGCTAAGCGTAAGCCTGTAGAGACACACACACATGCTTTCCACTCACTCTTCTCTAATTTATTACCAAGAGCTTAAAACTGATGCTTAGCCCATTCCACCCCCTACCCTATCCTCACCCCAGGCAGGCACAGTCCAGGTTGGGGCTGAGCGTGAGCATAGTACCCAAGGACAGAATATCCAGAAAGATGGATGAGCCCAGCACGGGGGTGGAGAAGCCTTGGGCTGCCTGGAAGTGTTGGGCAGAGAATGTAGAGTCCTTGCAGACACTGAACAAGAGCCTCTGTATTAAGTGGTCCCCAGACCCATTAGTGTCATGGAGTGTAGGGGCGGCATCTATTCACTGCAGAAGTGGCAGTATTCAGGTGAGGGTCCACCAACAGTGTGGCAGGGTTTTGAGGGGACAAAGAAGGGTGAGGTCAGCTTGGTAAGAGCCTTAGATACAGGGTGGCACATGCCTTCTCTTGCTCTGGTCCTAGGCCAGCACCATAGCGAGAAGATACTAGTCAGACCTCAGAGATCCCACCATCTGGGAGAGTGGAAGGAGAGCTAAGCAAGATGGTTTCCTAGGGGCTAAAGGGGAGGGCCTGGCCCTTACTCCAGATGCACTTTCTCCTTGGCCCTTGGTGCTTAGAGGGTGTATGTGCCTATGTGTTCAGTCTGTTTGATGCTTTCTCGGCCAGCCTGGCTTCCAAAAGCTTCACGCAGAGATCTCTGTTCTGCCCTAGAGACCCAGTCTCAGCTCTGCCCTGCACCACAGGCTTTCAACATGCTCTAGGGACTCTCTTCGACCGGGCTAGTACTTGCCGGCGGCGCCAGATCCCCACCTCCTTCCTCTTCTAGAGTAGGAGAGGCGAGCTCGCCCTCGCACTTCCGAGTGGTGGGGGGTGAGACCTGCGGGCCTTTCGACTGGGCACAGAAGGTCTGCACCTTGGCACATGGCAGATGGAGGTCCAGGAGAAGTGAGGACATTCATGTGGAGCCGCGGAGCCCTGATGGTCAAACCAAGCCTTTTCTCCCTAACGTCTTATTGTCCAGCTCCCCCACTCCCTGTCCCCACTCTCCGTGAGAAAGCACTAGAGCCACTGGATTCCTCAATCTCCTGGCGGTCCCCCGACGGCCGCTGCGGTTTAGGACTTGGAGAACTCCGCAGGTCCTGGGACCTCTGTCCCGGCGCGGTCTCTGAAAGGAACCTCCCTCCGGTCCCTGAGCTTTACTCCCGTGCTGCGCGCCAGCCCAGCCCTTCTCACCTGCTCTGCTCGGCTCTGCCGCCTTGGCCGCCGCTGCACCTCACGGACCAGGACTCGGGGCGGGAGTGTGAGCTGGAAGAGATCTGGAGGCACGTCAGCAGAGCCGGGGTGCGGGCTGCCGCTTCTGTCGGTGGTAGAGCCTCCGACGACGTTGCCGCGTCCCCGCGGGCTCCCGACTGGCTGCCAGCGAGTTGGCCGCGCCTGTCCTCTCCTCCTCCTGTTCCTCCTCCCTCCCCTCCTTTCTTTTCCTCCCTTCTCCAGCCCCACCCCGGTCTCTCTCTTTCTATGTCCTCTATTTCCCTTGCGCCCT